TACACAACACAATGCAGCCTTGCCCAGCCCCACACTGGCCTCACTTGAAGCCCGCCACTGCAGCTCTGAAGCGATCTACTTCACCGACACCCTCCCTGGCCTTCTGCTTCACCACCTATGGTGTTCTCCTCCAAGGACCGAGCCCTGCTGATGCTGTGTCCAAAGCGAAGAGCCAGTGTTCTGTAGTGATCCATCAGACCTTCCTGGGCTAAATTTCAGAAGTGAATTGCCTTCCTGCCCAGCCTGTTCCAGTCAAGCAGCACTGCTGAAATCTGTCTATCAGGGATGACTGGTGGCACTACTGCCAGGGTCCCAGAGACGCTCAAGCCACCACTGGGTGACAGACTGAGAGGTGTGGTAAACGAAGCCACTGATGAGCCCTAAGAATCACATCAAGGGATAGTGTTGAAAGCTGAAAAGCACTTCGGTTACATGCTACCATGGAGGTTTTTGTGTTTTTAACAGTAATTTCCAAAAGCAAGATAACCTCCTAATCACATTGCAACTTTTACCGTGTGCCAGAAATTATGTAAAGTGTTTTGTAGATTGATATTTTATTTAACAATGACTAGCCACAAACCCATGTTGGAAAAGGTCTCCAGTTCTTCTATTGTGAAAAGCCTTAAACACAGACAAAAGTGAGCAAAACAGTACCATGACCCTTCATGTCCTCCACACCCCGCTCCAGAAATTAACCCCTCACAGCCCATCCCAGTTCATAGTCCCCTCCCGGATAGTCTTTGGATACCAAATTTCATCTCTTCATGGTTAAGTCTTTTAGTAGGTGTGTCCAACAGAACTCTTTAAGAAAACCAAGATGCCATCTTTACACCTAAAGAACGACCACCCATTTCTAAATCTCCCCACGCAACCCGGGTTAAAATCTGCAACTGTCATTAAACTGTGAATGGTTCGGCTTGTTTGATTCGAGATGCACATCTGGTCCCGGCACCCTGCTTGCTGAGACCCCCAGGTTCTCCCTCCATTGCTCTGTTCCCCTTGCACTTAACTAAGAGAAGATTGTGTCATTTGCATCCCTTTGGTATCATTCACCGTGAGCCTGTAACCGATTTCCTATAAAGGGGCATATGCGTGATCAGATGCAGGCTTGATCCTTTCGGGCAAGTTAACTCTATTATAGTATGTGCTCTTCCATCAGAGGGCAAATAATGTGATTTTGAGAGGCTACGGATGCCCAGTACGTACCTCATATGCAACGGACAAAAACTGCACGATGGATCAAGCTCCACTGGCATTCTGGGTTAGTCATTAGTTTAATTCCAAAGGCAACAATTCGAACTCACCAGCTGCTTTGCAGTAAAAAGACGGCTTTCTAGTCTCGGGCACCCAAAGGGACAGTCTACTCTGCCCAAGGGTCACTGAGTCAGAATTGACTCCGTGGCAGTGGGCAGGTTTGATATTTTCATCATTCCTTTTCCCTCAATGGGAATGCTTTTACAAAGAGAAACTACCCCGTATCTACAGTACAGTTTATATGAGAAATGCAGAAAATACTGATTTCTCTTTTTACAAATTTCCCAAATAACGTCCATTTACTGGCACCCTGTGACGGTGACCAACAGTGCTGTTTTTCGTGTGGCTTGTTGCTTCATGAGCCCTGGCTCCGGAAGTGCTGACTGCTAACCAAATGGCTGGCAGGTTAAACCACCACTCCATAGAAGAAAGAGGAGGCAGTCTGCTGAAGGCAGGGAACACGCTTTCTGCCCTGAGCAGCACCACGGGCAGGTCCTCTCTGTCTTGTGGCGTTGCTACGCGTCAGAGCTGACTCGGTGGCAATGGGTTTGGGGAGCTTCTTTGCTGTCTGGCTTGACAAGGTGTTCCAGGCTTACCTGGGCCATTTCCTGCTGAGATACGGAGACAGGGGCCCTTTCGCCCATACGGTCAAGTACCTTCTAGGGAGAAATGGTATTCCTGGAAACTAGCTTTGCATATATTCTACTAGTCTACTGATCATTTCTAGCCATTTCAGTTAGCAGAACGAGAAAATGTGTCTTTTTATTTCTTTTCAGAAAAGAACACCGACTGAACATGGAAAACTCTAATTAAAAACAGAGCAACACAGATTTTAACTTATATTTATCTCTTTTCTCTCTAGCCAAGAATCCAGGCCCAAGGTGACAAACAGACGGATGGAATCAGAAATCATAGAAATAGATACTTGCCTATCCCACACATTCTCAGAATAACAAAAAAACATTGTCACTAACAATAAGATGACTGTCAAGTTTAAGATTTGTACCGCTCATTTTCCTTAGGGATAAGATATCCCTCTAGGGAGGTGTAGGTCAGTGCATTTCATATGACCCAGAACAGATCTTCTCCATCTGGATATACGATTAGGTGCACTTGTTTCCTCTAGTATTTGACGAGGAATGGGGGAGGTGTATTTTATGACAATTTTGTGAAAATGTTTAAGTGATGCCAAGTCCAATAGAAAACAGATGTATTAAAGTCTTGGTTGCCTCCAGTTTCCCGCGGTTGGTGGTGGTGGTTGCGTGTTATCTGTCCCACCTCAATGCGGCACTGTGGACAGCAGGACACACTGCCCGGGTCCGGCCATCCTCACAGTCGGTGCTGTTTCAGCGCATTGTTGCAGCCCATGTATCAAGATAGCTCATTGAGAGCCTTCCTCTGTTCTGCTAACCCTGTACTTTAAGAGACATGCTTTCCAGGGACTACTGGTGTCTCCTGACAACATATTCAAAGTACACAGTCTCGTTCGTCATCTTCTCCTAAGGAGCATCCGGGCTGTACTTCTAGGAAAGATTTGTTGATTCTCTTGTTAATCCATGAGAAATTTAATATTCTTCGCCACTAGCATAATTGTCCATGAGAAATTATTCTTCTCCACTACCATAATTGATAAGCATCAACTCTTCTTGTCTTCCTTATTCATTATTCATCATCTACAGGATTGTTGACAACATCAAGGTTTGGCTTTCGTGTTTACCGGCCCCATTTTAAGGCTTTTTCTTTACATCGAGGTATCATCCACACCGAAAGGCTGTAGTCGTTCATCTTCATTACTGTTTCAGGTCCTTACTTGCAGCCAGCAAGGTTGTCATGTGCCTGTCACAGGTTGTTAACGAATCTTTCTCTAATCCCAACGCGATCTTTATAGCGTCAGCTTCTTGCTGGTTTGCTCAGTATCCAGATGGAGTTGGGATGGTGAAACAACCCTGATGCAGTTTTCCTCAGTTTAAACCCCACGGTATCATGTCCCATTCCAACTGTCACTGGGTCTGTGTACGGGTTGTGCTTGAGCACAATTAAGTGTTCTGGAATTCACCTTCACAATGTTATCCCTAATTTGTTATGATACAGTCAAAAACGTTTGCATTGTCAACAGCGACCTATTGGGGGGAAATGTGTACGATTGACTATGTAAACATATAAATCTTAAATTGCTTTTTAAAAAATAAATAAGACACTTTTGTGTGCATGTTGCTCCAGTATACCATGAATGGTAATATGCTGTTTTTCATTTGCTTTTCGGTTAACAATGAATCCTAGTTTGTTTTTTCACAGCTGTGTAATATCCATTACGTAGATGTACCATACTTATTTAGCCAGTAACTAGGAACGCCAAAAAAAAAAAAAAAATTACAAGTCCACTGCCATTGATTTGATTCAGTAACCCTGTAAAAACATAGAACTACTACGCTACAGGTTTCCTGCGACAGTCTTTTGCCAATCTTGTGAGACATACTTACTTAAAGGTACAGCAGGCCATCCTCATATGTGATTAAGACAATTGTCCTGTGCAATCAAGGGCTTTAGTTTCAGGGTCCCTTGGCTTAACATAGTTCACAGAGGCAATGTTGCTCATTCTAATGTGGTGAATAATCATCCAAGGTGCAACTATCAGTCACTTCCTGTCCAGAGGAAAGAGGAGCAACAAAAATTAAGAGGCTTGCAAATACTTAGACCAATGGTCTATGGGCCATGAGAACATTTAATCCAAGGAAGGGACGGATGGACCAAGCAAACACGTCTCCTCCACAAGGCGGAGACCATGGGAACTAGATGGTGCACAGGGAGCGCCACCTCAAGTGAGGCCATTGGGAGGAAACGGTGGTTAGCCTCCTCATCTTAGGCGAGCAGGTTGTTTCCTACCAGGCTGAATTTTTGCTATTTCAGAAAAGTATTCATCTTTTAAAGTTCAGTCTCCAGCCCTAACTATCGGACCGTTTTTTCTCGAGGGTGCCTAGCGCCACATTCCACGCATGACCTCGTCAGGGTTCAACACGAAAGGAGATAGACACCCTGGGTCGCTGAATCTTGTCAGAAACAAAGGATGCACCTGGATTAGTGTCGGCGCTCAAGTCGCTTTACAGCAAGGTTCTAAATACCCGCTTATTCACTTCTTCCCCAAAATGCCTTCCACTTATTATCCCTTAATTTACTTTACGACGACTCGCCCCCTTACCAGCCCCCCATCGCACCACCGCTGGCCCACCCAAGAAAATGTTCATGGAAACAGTCTAAAAAATTTGGCCTCAGCTACTTTTCTCAAATTTGTTTTAGGGCATCATACTGTGATAAGGGTTAAAAAATAACAACAAAACAACTTACGTAGATTGGACAATATTACCCCTAATACCTGCAAACGTGATTTCTCCTATGTTGAGATTTTAAAGGTCTGATTAAATGATGAACCTCAGACAGGAAGATCATCCTGGCTCACCTAGGTGGGTCTAATGATGTTGAAAGCACAAGCGTCCTTATAAACATAAAGAGGAAGAAACGTGGACAGTGGGCGCTGGTATTTGAAATGTTACCTTTCGGCTTGGAAGATGGAGGAGCGGGCCACGAGCCAAGGAACCAAAGAACGTGGCGCAAAAAGACACGGATGGATTGATGCTTCCCTCGAGCTTCCAGAAGTGGAACAGATTTGGGGCATAATGGTGCCAAAGTGTAAGATAATTCATTTGTGTTGTTTTACCTCGCTAAGTTACTGTTAATTAAGACACTAATACTCAGTTTTTGACAAGTTTTTATTGTGAAATATTAGATTTAGAAAAAAAGTACAAAATGTCAACAATCAGATGTATACAAGTACAGTATTTCAATAGTTTATACATGTGAACAGATTACCAGGTTCACTGCAGAATGCATATTTAGACCAATACATCTAAAAAGGACTGCAATATTCACAAGCTATTGATTCATAAATAACCTGACCCAAAATGGTCCTTTCACTGATAAATGCTAACAGCTGAAAACAAGCTAAAAACACAATACAGCACACCATATTATCTCCTTACATATCCATATTTAAAAGATTATCAGCTCATTGTGTCAATACACTACAGACAGATAGATCCAGGACTGAGATGCAATTACTAGTTTATACAATTTCAAAAGCTTTAAGTTATAAAATAAGATCACGGAATAAAGAGCGCGCATTTAATTAGGACTGAATATGGTGAAGCATCTGAGAGGTTTTAGCCTTGGGATTTACAAAGTTTAATTATTTAGACTGATCGATCCTTTGTGACTTTCTAAAAAGGGAGTGGGGAAAGACTGACTTCAAGGTCACGCAGTGCATGTTAAAATCAGAGTGACCACTGGGAACTGACAAATGTCATGAAACCAGAACAGAAACCACCATCAGTTGTAAAGAAAAGTAACAACTACCTTGAATTTAGGAAGTCCTCAAACATTTAAACCTACGTTATGGAAGCATCCTTGAAATCACTGTTAAGAATACTAAATTTAAGCTGATTACATAAAAACTTCATAAAAATAAAGTGGTCAATTTTTCAAAGTATGACAGAGTCAACCTTTTGCTGCTGCCTGAAATTATGTCAGGTTAAGTATCTCTAAATTGGACAAAGAAACACGTGGTCTAATTTTATCATGAGTAACTGTAATGGACAACATCTGTAAATGGAGACTTCTGTGCCGCGATGGCACTGAGGAAGTTCCCGGGGGAGCTTCCAGACTAGAAAGAAAGGCCTGGTACTGTGCTTCCAAAATATCCGCTAACGAAACCCTACAGATCCCTCCAGTCTGACATGGGGTCAGCAGAGTCAAGGGCAGCTAACAACAGTGTAGGAATAAAGAATTGTTACAATCTTCATGAGTTCTTAGGAAAGACAATCTTTGACAGACATTCATAATCAGTGCTTCTTTATAACGATGATTTTCAAAATGAACAAATTTAATAGCTTTCCCTAAGTTCCTAGGTGGGGGGGGGGGGAATCATACTGTATAGATGCTTTCAAAAATTGAACTAAAGTCTGAACTGATCAAGTTCTTACTTTCAAATTACTCAAAGAACTCATTTCAGGATGAAAACCACTGGACAGAATATAATTCAGTACCTTCACCACCTATCTCAGCCTTGTGTAACCTTTGATGGATAGCTTTGCAGATGTCAAGGCAGTTTCCTTATAAATAGTGCCCAAATCTTATAAATGCCAATTTATTCAAAGTAAAATCACATATTAGATGGAACAGTTACACAAATTAGGTATAGTGTCCATAAATATTAACTTAGATAATCATGGATATATGGAAACAAGAAGAGATCAGTGTAGAAACATTATAAAATTTATAAAAGCAAAATATGTAACTCATATAGTATGAACATGAAGCCATATAACATACAAAATAAAATTACCAAAAGTGATTTAATATTAAATCTTTGGGGAAGTTTTTGACATAATTCAATGACCAATAGCTTCCCTTATCACACAGAAATAAACCACAAAATCATCTAAAATCTATATGTATTATCAGTTAGTTCTTAATGTAACTTTTTACTAGCAACTTTGATTTTCTCTTGAAATAGGCTTCTGTACATATGCACTTATATACAAACATTTATTAAACATGATTTTAAAACAAACTTTATATACAAAAGATCAGCATTCCTATAAATAAAAACATTAGGTGGCAAAAAGGCACTTGTAAGTAAAAATCTACAGTAGTTTTTACAAAACCGAAACACATTTTACCTTGATACTGTACAATAAAATTGTCCTATGCCAATAATGAAAATACGAAGTGACTAACTAATGTTAATGATGTAGATTTTGAAGACATATTTACATATACTCTGAAGTTTAATAAAAGCACCGTGATTCTTTCCTAAGTTCATGTTGATGCAAAGTAAAAACACAATTCCCCCCAAACCAGTGTTCACCATTTCCGTTAAAATTTTTGCATTTCTAAATTGAAAATTGTTTATCTGAAGTTAGCATCGTGTAAAAATAAAACAAAACAAATAAAACCCTAAAACTCCCTGCTACTTTTGACGTTTTCAAACCATACCTACTCTATTATTGCATGTTGTGTTTTCATAAAGAGCACTACTCATGCACTCCTTTACAACTGTTTAATACTATTGCTGGCAAAAAGTTCCTGGGTATCAAATCATTAAAAAGTTACTCCAAACCAGTTGAAGTTTTATTTGAATTCTTTGACAACTTAAAAAATGCTGCATTTCGGTTACAAAAGTGAATAGGAAACACGCCAAACCATTTGGTGTGCAAAAATAATTTTCACCTCACAGAATTTAAGGGCTGCACTGAATTTTCTTTTCCAAATTTACATGTATGTAGAAACACTAACTGAGTAAGTACTTTCTCAAGGAGACGTCAGTATACTTCCACTTTTGTCAAACTTTTTACCCTTTGACAATGCTGCAACCTGCTTGAGTAGTTCTCTGTTTTTGGCCTGTGGGAAACAAAACCATTTAATATTTTTTAAAAAGTGCAATATCCTTATTAAGACTTATGCTGACTACTGCAATCGCTCTTTTCATGTATATATAAAAGACGTCAGTGACACAATAATCACATGGACAGTGGTCTATTTAAGTTCATCTCTCTTAAAGTTGAATATGCAGAAGAAAAATCCTTGATAGGTTTATCAGCCTACTTTGTAGTTATCTAAGGATACAACTGCTTAAGAAAATATCACTTGAAAACGAATTCAGTTAAAGAGGGTCCTATTTAAGAAAAGGGTTGGGCTTTATCTTACCATCAAACCAACAAAAAGCAATTACCGCTGTTAAAAAAAGCAATGTTTTATAATAAAAAACTAATCAAGTACTGACTTGGAAGGAATATTTTCCAATAAACCACATGGTGTTGCTCTTATGTTTACCTTTCTATGGTATAGTCATAAAGGGTCATGTGTTTTAACAAAAACATTCAAAGTTCTCTTAAAAGCCACTGTGCCAAATAGATTCAGTGGCAGTCAAGTGATGTCCTTTTGAAGTCTGCTCCCAAGTTTAGTTTTCCTTTCATGGCCACTCGCTCCTTCAGCACTGACTGTGTGCGGTTTGCACAGCTACCCTTCAACGTTTGCCAGGTCAGGAAAGCCTGACCATTTGGGGGTAAAGATTTTCATTCCAAATGGCCAATAATCGAAACTGAAGTTGCACTTCAATATTAAATATTCTATCAATCGTTGACAAAGAAACTGTCATTGAGCAAATGAGCTTCAGTGAGCACCTTCATATTTGGATAGCCATTGCCTTTCCTATGCAATGGCCTCTTAACCGTGGGAACTTGGATAACAAAGATTCCCAGTGTACAAATTCATTAATGATCAACCACTTTGAAAGTTTAAAGCCAAAAGAGAAGGAGCTTTGAAAACCATCTTGAACTTGAATGCTGTCTTAAATGTAAATTAAAAAAAAACATTCTCTGGCTTACGTTTGAAAATCACTTTTGTTTCATGGTCTCAACATTTCTTAACCTCAGTGTCATTATCTTTTTCTCTAACCAAGCCTGCCTTAGACCTCGGATAGCCGTTTTTTGAAATACAATGTTTAGAAAATGTTTTAAAGTTAGAAAGTTAAGAAACAACTTCAAAAAGTTTCTGAAATTTTTCAGGTTTTGTGCTTCTAGCCTCTTCTCCAATGTAACTTTCCCCAATTTAACGCCTATAACCATCAAATTGCAAATATGCTCAATGTTACTTGATATGTATAAGTCAAATAGCCTTTTCTTTTTGGCAGCATGATTGACAAGGTTCTATAGATAGTCACATTAATGAAGATTTCCAATTTCAAATTTAGAAAACCAGTGTTTTTTAAAAAAAAATTTCAAACTGACCTGCCTGAGAAAATGATTGGGGGCAAATCAAGTGAGAATGTCTGATGTTAGTGAACAGCACATTTACTACCCAGCTGATCAGTCCTAGTCAATGTGGTAGTTCACTTTTTGTAACCTAACCACCTATTATTTAATTATAACAATATGACAAAAGACAGAAAACATTAGAAACCAAAAATCTAAAGACAATTTAATGGAAAAAAAAATAATTTTGCAGATTTGCTTAAAAGTGACCACAACAGGTCTGTAAGTTACACTGATATGAAAATGTTTATACTGACATACCAAATTATTTAAAAGTGCAATCTTCAAATTATTTTCTCAATCAAGAAATAAATCATAAAAAGCCAAATTAAAAAATTTCATATTCTAAATGTAAAATGTAAGTACTCAAACATTAGGTCTTGAAAGCAGTTTCTATTATGTTTGACACTTCCACCAATCCTCAATTTGCATATTTTCAGTGTTTTAATCAATCATATAATACATTTACTTATTGATAAATCATTTAAAAAGTATTTATGAAAAATACAGTATCAGTTGTCAAATGAACACAAATCCAAATGCTTTCCTCTAATGTGAATATATTAGAATTGAATTTCATAAAGAATATTTAGATAGTTTCCTAAAATTAAGATATTTTGTGAGCTCCCACTTCTGAAAAGAATCAATAATATGATTTAGGAACTCTTTTAAGAAAGTAAAAAATTGGTTAGAAATGCTGGCACTAAGAGAACACAATTTGGATCAAGAGTTACATCAACCCTGCTAGGAAACCCTGCTCTGTAACTCGACTCAGTGGCAAAACAGAAACCGAGTCACGTGCCTCACACTAATGTTTAAGAACTTATTAAGGAGTAAAACACAATAGCTGGTGTGCACGGTAGACTTATATGTTAGTTCCCTCTCCATTATATCCAGTTACCTACTAAACAAAAGCTAACATTTCTATTTGATCTTTTTTGTATTTCAGATCATTTGGAGGATGGTTGTTGCTTTGTTGATTTTGGACTTTAGATAATTTTTGTTCTTGTGATGCTCAGTACTTAATAGGCTTGGTGATTAAAAAGGCTTCAACACTAAGGTGAGCAAGGTAAGCTTTTTGTTACAGCCTTGGAAACCCTTAAACACATGTAACCAACTACATTTACTGGCCCTTAGTAGAGAAGCTTATTAGCACCCACCACCCACAAGCAACACCCATTGCCAGCAAGTTGATTCCAACTCAGTGACCCTATAAGACAATGTGAATTAATGGCTCCCTAGGGTTTCTAGAGCTGTAACTACTAGAAGCAGAATTTAAGTAGACAAGCTCATTTATTTCCTGTGGAGCTATAGAAAGAGTTGAACCGTTAACCTTGGAGTTTGCAACCCCACACATAACCCACTATGCCACCAGGTCTGCTTTCCTACTAGTACAGTGCTGGTTCAAGGGGATGGAGATAAAGAAGGCACCTTAGTATCAGTGATAGAATGTCTTTAGTAACAACCCAAAAGATACAGAAAAGTGGTCTAATAATAAGGGCAAACCAGATAAAAGTCAGTGATATGTAAAGTATAAGCCAGAGTCAAAAGATGTAGGCTAGTGTTCGCCCACATACACACTACCCAAACACCCTGGTGTCGAGGTGATTCCAACTCACAATGGCCCTATATGGCAGAGTACTTCTCCATAGGGTTTCCAGGGCTGTAATCATTACAGAAGCAGACTGCCTCACTTTTCTCCACCAGAAAGGCCAGTGGGTTCAAACTGCAGCTCTTTCATTACTAAGACAAGTGCTTAACCACTAGACGACCAGAGATGTCTACTTACAGTTTTTCATGTTGAAAATGCCATACTTGTATATAAATATTAGTTACTATTGTATCATTATGAACTTTCAGCTACCAATCAAAAGGAAATGGACTTAAGACACCCAATCAGGATATGATGCCAAGGTTTCGTTCTTACAACTATGTTAAAAAAAACCCAACAAAACAAAAAACCCACACTTCTTCTTTGAACAGTGGTACGTATCACATATAAATCTTATTTAAGTACTGCTAGCAGTTGTTCTTTATCTCAGTCTGAATTTACTCCAGAATTTTCGTGACATCTTGCTAAATCGGTGATCCCCTTTTGAAATGTTCTGTTCAAAGGAATTCAGCCTGAGTGACTGAATGAGGAAAACACGACTATCAAAAAACTAAATGGATCTGTGACGGATGAAAACCATGCTGTACCATCCTGTACAACGGATCCTTTTCTCAAGACAGAGGGCAGGTTAGCAGAGATCATTCCTTCACAAATTACCTGAATGCCTACAATGTGCCACGTTCGATACGATTTTCTCTAAAATATTCTTCAGACGGACATTAAGGTCAGGCTTAAGAGTTGGGAAAACTACACTTCTAATTTCAAAAGTTTCCTAAGTTGACTTTTCAATCTTATTAATTTTAAGCTACTTGAAAAGATGTAGCAAGAGCACAAAACCAAAATATAGTAATAGCAATATTCTCTGGGGCTAAAAAACCAGGGCAGTATGAATTTTTTCTTCCCAAGCTGCTCTCTCTAATCAGGCAGTTGCCCAAGTACTGGCATCATCTGTACCTTTAAGACTTAAACGTAACCTTAAAAACACCATTCTTTGGAGTAATTCTACAGTTTTAAAATGTGTCAATGGAACATGTAATTAATTTAGTGTAGTCAGATATCTAGATTCCGGACCATGGGTGAGGAATGCTTCAGTGAGATGACGTTCACTCCCTCTGCTAGTCAGATGGCAAACCTCTCTGTTACTGTGGGGACTTGTTGCTTTATCACAGATCACAGAGCTGCTCTTTTTGTTTAACCCTGTTTAGTACTGAGGTTGAGGTGGGCCACTAGATGCTTCCTGCTATGACTAACTGCAGCACCGTATTTGGCACTTTGCAGATCACATGACCAGGGTTAACAAGCATTCACACCTTGAATCAGGGACGAAGTATACATTTCCTCCCCTCGGAGTCACTGAGTATTGGCAAGTGTTTGCATACCCATCTGCTGTCCCAGTGTCTGGGAGGAAATAGGAAGAATAACTACACAGATAGTGCATTAGCTAAGTGCTCAACTGTAAACACAATGGTAACTGGTTCAAACCCACCAGTCACTCTGAGGGAGAAAGACCTGGCAGTCTGTGTCTATAAGAATTACCCCTTGAGAAACCCTAACAGGCAGTTCTACTTTGTCCTATTGGGTTGCTATGAGTCAAAATTAATCAATGACAATGGATTTGGTTTGAGCTTTTGTTTTCATAAATCTAATTTTAAAATTTGTACTTCTGGTCCTCTGACCAAGTCAACGTAATCTGACAATACACTCCTCTAAAAACCCAGTTTGAGACTTAGGGCAGTTTCCACGATTGCTGCACTGAATCACACTTTTTAATGGCACCAGGCGCTAACAACGACTCCAATGTCAAATTAAGCTGACAATGTATTAAATACCAATAAAAGCCCCAGTACAATACACACTCCAATACCCATACAAACCAGTCCAAGACAGTGAATGCTGTTACTTACGTTTATTTAGACACCTTTCCCAGTACTCAGTGTATGTAAAGAATGCCATTTACCTGTAGTTGTTCCACAGTTTCTTTGTGAGCTTTTTCCATACTGTTCATCTTTGTTCTCAAGTTCGACTCTTGATACTGAAAGTCTGCCTTTAGTTCAGTTAGCTGAGGGATTAAAAAAAAGGAAACTATGTCCACAAAAATACACAAACACTTCTTCACAATAAACCACACCCTTCATTGTATATATGGAAGATGCTCACAGCAATGTCCTGAGTTTTATGTAGAATCTGTTTTGTAAAGTGGCGAAGTCCACCTACTTTATGATATACAAAACTCCAAACCCATCACCACCGTGTCAATTCCAACTCACAGTGATCCTACAGGAAAAAGCTGTCACCTTTACAGAAGCAGTCTGCGGCATCTCTCTCCCTGAGAGTGACAGGTGGGCTGAATTTTGATTAGCCACTAAGCATTTAACCACCGTGCAATCAAGGCTCCTCCTGACTTTCCAATGCAGTAAGATTGTATCTGATCATCAGTAAAACTTTTGAGAAGATGGCCCTGTCTGCTTTTTAACATTGAGTATCACAATTCAGAGCAAGAGGACTGGCATGCCAATAGGAAAGCGTTAAGGGCCAGTACCTTGGGATATGCTTTAAATAAAGTGTGGTCCACATTAGCAAATGTGCTTCACAAAGAAAGCATTAAAACTGGCTTCGGGTTAAAATCATTTTTCCAACAAAAAAAGAAAATTTTAACATTTGGCAAGTATAAAGAGACAGTCTTTATCAAGCAATATAAACACATTATGGTTTACATCCAGAAGTATGGGCCTTTGACTACCCAACAGTTGTAAAACCGTAGAGCAAAGCAGAGGTACAGCTAATGTGGAATGAAAAGGTAGAAGATGTCCTTTACATTTTGGGAGGAAATCACATACAGTGAAAGAAAAGAAGTGTTTTCAGGAAGCAAGTATGTCTATACAACAATTATTTCATAAACACACATGACATATACCAAAGTACAAAATCTTGCACCTTAAACGTTTTTTAAAAAGTCAGTATGACACATTTTCATCCCAGAAAGAACCAAATTGACAAAAGGTGCAGACTGTTTTGAAGTGATTTTCATTACGTAAGCTTAAGGTTAACATGTTTGATATCGAAATAACCTGGTAGTTAGTTATCGACCTGAAAGGGTACACCAAAAAAATGAGACAAAGTCTTAGGGATTTATATTTCTGAGTAAAAGTCACTGTTTTTTGTCATAGTAAGAAAATAATTGAATTTCCTCTTCCTTTTTAATGTATCACAAAGGAATTCCTATTTAGAAACATCAAATTTCTACACTAAGAATTGTTTCCAAATTGTGGACTTTTAGAAGGTAAAATTAAGTCTTATTCAATTTATTCTTATGTGCATCCACATGACCTGGTACAGTGCCTGACTCTTGAAGCCATTCTATAGCTTTCTGTGCAGCAAATTCAGAAACGTAATTTTCAATTAACAAACATATTTAATATCACTCCTGATCTGAGATAGGAAATTCCAGTAAGTATATTTCCTTGGCACAAAATGAGCTTACACATGTATTACTTGCCAAAGACTATCAAAGGAGAAGTTCCTGTAATATTTTTTACCAGTTATTTGATGTTCATTAATACAGCTATGATCAATGTATCTAAGATGCTGTATCAAATTTCATTACTAAATCACAAGAGTTCACACAGTAGTCCATTTACATCTGTTTCAAATTAAGACATTAGGGCACATTAATTTTTAAATTATGTTTAATAAAATCTAAGTATTATTCAGAAAAAAATGTCAATTCTAATGTACTTACTTCAATTAATTCCTACAACTAAAACTTCTAAAAAGCCTTTCTACCTATCTTCATTAGAGGATTTAGATTTCAATTGGACTTTTGTAAGGTTATCTTGCAGGATGCAGGACAAACACCAACAAATTACTAAAGTCTGTCTAAGGAGACCTGATGGGCTGTCAGGTCAGAGTTGAGCTATGAACCACAGGTCAATAGTTCAAGTCTACCGGGTGCTCCCTGTCTGCTCCTATCAAGATTTATAAAGACTCAGAACCCCTTCACAGGGTCACTCTGAAGCAGAATCAGCTTGATGGCAGTGGTTTGGTTTTTGAGGAGTCCTGGCAGGGCAGTGGTTCAGCTCTTGGCTGCTGTATGAAGGGTGGTGATTCAAACCCATCAGTCTTCTGTGGGAAAAAGTTCTGGCAGTCTGCTTTTGTAAAGATTTATAGCCTTGGAAATTTTATGGGGACAGTTCTACTGTGTCCTAGACACTTGACTATGGGTCACAATTGATGGCAACAAGGTTTTAAAAAAGGATCTACATTTATCAAGCAAGAGGCAAGATAGACATCTTCCTAGGCTTCCACAAACCATGTTTTTACCTTTTTATCTTTTTCTAAAATTGTCTGGTCTCTCTGCTGTAGAAGACGCTTTAGGGACATCACTTCTTCCTTCAGTTGACTTATGAGGACAAAATTGTCTGTTCCCCCACTATCTGCTGACTGATTTATAGAGCTACTAAAAAGAAAAAAAGAAAACACAATTAAACAATACAGAACAGAAATTAGCAAATGTTCAAATTGCATAAATTAGACAATTCCACAAACATCCTTAAGGCTAATGCAAAAAAATATGTACCTGACAGAAATGGATGCAACTGGCAAATTACCTTACTAATGGCACACATTACATACACCTGCAGAAATATAATTCAGTATTAGCTTTTAGGGGGTCAATACTTCTAGTGTAAAGCAATAGGCAGCCAATTTGTACAGTAACATGAGCAAACTCTTGGCTAATGAACAAAACAAAAATCACATATTTCAAATTTTAAAAAAGGTCAATTTAAAATAATACATCTAATTGTGTCTCTATGAAGGACAATTAAAGAATTGTTCTCAAAACAGATGTTTTCCTCTTGCAAAACCCAAATTTATTTCCCAATAGAACATAGTTCAGTGCCACTTTATTGCCAAAATTAAGTTTAAAAAAGCTGAAGCTTGATTATGTTTATTCTCCTAGATGATGCAAAGTCAATGTAGGAGATATGTTTCTATTCCTTTGATAAAAATTGGCAATCAATGATTGTTCAACTCAGTTGAATTTTCTTAACACTAATGCAATTCATTTTTACCTATCTCCATTAGATGGCTTAGATTCCAATTTGGGCTTTTTCTTTGGAGTTTCATTCTGAATTGCTGCAGAGGATTTATGGCTGAAACCAAACAAAAAGAGTAATTAGAATAAAAAGGGCAGAGACTACAAATGATAAGCTAGTCAAATGTTATTGAACATCTGATTTTTTTAAAACCTACGGAATGATTTATTTCTTTCCTAGATAACTAAGTTGAAGATATGTCACATTTAAAAATATTTATTTCAAAATACTTTAAAATATATATTAATGTTATTTACCTTTGTTTCCACAGTCCCTGCTCTTGCTCTGGACTCAAATTGCTGATTCTGAAAAATACATAAATGATATCTAATAGCAGTATTTATCTAACACAGTCTAGCTATTAATAGTAATTTGGTCAGAAGGCACATTCAATTAAAATTTTAGACTAAGCTAATATATTTTGAATAATTCATATTCTAACGAGATACATTTTAATGCAGTGATGACTAGTCACCTTGAGTTCTTTAGTGAAAGCATGAGACTGACTGTTCCTTCTAATTAGACCATCTATAATTAAACGCTTGGGTAGATGGGCATGAAAACCATCACAACAGTATAAAGTTCAAGTCTCATTGTACATAGACCGCCCTTACTACTTCATAAAGAATCTGGTGTATCTCACTTTAAAGTCAGACCTTCCTAATGACTCTAAGCAGAAATTTTTCCTATTGAGGAACTTACATGATCAGAATTAGTGTCAAGTTGAATCAAGAAATACATTAATTTGTTTTGTTTTTCCCCACCTATTTTCCATAAGAACCCTGAAATATAGTCAATTAATATGGCCTGTCAAGCTATAATTCCTCATGTGATGTATTTGGCTATAATCCCATTTTGGTGGGAGTTCTCTGCTATTCTAGTGGTCAGAATCGAAGTAGGGCTAAGTCTTGTCCTTAGTATATGATGTGAATCAAGTCATATCCTTTGGTTCATTGGGGGTATCTTAAGACTCTACTAGAAGGTGTGACTTAAGACACCATCCTTTGCTTTCTTTGGGGAATAGTTAGCTAACTCCTTGCCATCAAGATATTTCAGACCCATAGGAGCCCTATAGGACAGAATACAACTACTCATATGGGTTTGCAAGACTACAAATCTTTACAATGGTAGAAAGCCTCATCCTTCTCCCTCGGATGGGCTGGTGGTTTTGAACTGCTGATGTAGCAGTTAGCAGCTCAAAGCATAACCCACTCAAGGACAGGTTTGAAAAGAATGGGAATTTCAGAACACTTAATTGTGTCTATGCAGATGCTGTACATGGATCAAGAGAGAGTTGTGCAAACAGAACACAGGAATACTGTATAGTTCAAAATCAAGAAAGGTGTGTACCAAGTTTGTATCCTCTCACCATACTTATTCAATCTGTATGCAGAAGAAGTAATCAGAGAAACTGGATTATATGAAGAAAAATGTGACATCGGATTGGAGGAAGCGGATGAGTTTGCTTGCTGAAAGTAGAAAAGACTTGAAGCGCTTGTTGATGAGCTCAAGGACTGCAGCCTTTACTATGGGTTACAAACTCAATGAGAAGAGAGCCCAAATCCTCACAACTAAACCAAGAGGTAACTTCCAGATAAATGTAGAAAAGACTGAAGTTGTCAGAGATTTTGTCTTGCTTGGATCCACAATCAACACTCATGGAAGCAGCAGTCAAGAGATCAAGTCACATTAGATTATGTAAATCTGCTATACCTCTTTAAAAGTGTTGAAAAGCAAGAATTTTACTTTGAGGACTAAGGTGCCATGACCCAAGCCATGTTATTTTCAACCACCTCACATACATGTGCAAGTTGGGCACTGAATAAGGAAGACCGAAGAATTGATGAATCTAAATTGTGATGCTGGCAAAGAATACAGAAAGTACAACGGGCTGCTAAAAGAACCAACAAATCTGTCTTGGAAGAAACAGTCAGAACGCTCAACAGCAAAGATGTTGAGATTTTGTCTCAGATACTTTGGACATGCTATCAGGCAGGCCCAGTGCCTGGCAAGGGATATCATGTACGGTAATGGGCCCTCAACAAGATGGACTGACACAGTAGCTACAACAATGTGCTCAAACTTAACAACTGAGAGGATGATTCAGAATGGGTAGTCTTTGTTCTGTTGTACAGAGTACCAACGAGTCAGAAATGAGTCAATGGCATCGAAAAGCAGTAACAGTGTGGGCTCAAAGACAAAACTTACACCTGCATCAAAGCTATTCCTTAGAGCTATCTCAGAGAGAGAAATCCAGGCTTCTCAGAAGAGGACGTTATCAGATCTCTGCCTAAAGTGGTAGAGCCCTAGAACAGAAGCACAAGAAACTACGGGACTGAGCAAGAGGAGTGCTGAGACTATGGGACTATGAGGTCGACGCCAAGGGATCTTATACCCGAGAAGCCAAGGACAAGACTTGGTTGCTGGCTGAGGAGAGGGATTGCTGTAGACCAATGACTGTATCCTTACTGTTTACTAACTTGTGATAGGTAACCTATTAACTTCTCTCATAAACCCCCATAATTCTTAGTATGGTCATTGCAAACACTATCAAAACCAGCATATAAGAGCTGTGGGAAGAGTAGTTGATGTCAGAGTAGGTAAAGAAGGAAGGAAGGTGAAGGCATGTTTGCCCCTGCCTCTTGGCAATAGGGAAGATAAAGGTTAGATACATCCTTCCATGCCATTTACCGCAAAGCCTCTCTAAAGTCCCAAGATTTTCCTTTAGTCAGTACTCTGGAGAAGTCATGCTGAAAGTACTGGAAATTTCACAGTAACTAATGATATCAAAGTATATATGGTAATATGCATTTTAACTAAGCTGCTATCTAAGTCAAAAGCACACCATACGTGGCTAAAAGACTGAAGTATTTGATTTGATCTTATACAAAACCCTAATGCCATCAAGTTGAGTTCAACTTACTGACGCTGTAAGTTGTTAAGACTGCAAGTCTTTGTGAACAGACAGACTCGTCTTTCCACCAGCGAGTGGATGGTGGGTTTGGACCATAGCAAGTTGTTTAAATTCCCTCAACTTCAATGTCCTGATCTGTGCTACAGCTGTAGTAGGAATGAACTACA